CCGTGCTGGCCATGTCAGCCAGCTCTTGCCCGGCTTGCTGGGACGCCGGTGGCACCAGGAAGCTCGTACTTTGGTGGCCGAAGGTAACGCTGCGTGTTTGCCACAGGGCGAGCGCAAGCGAGCGGGCTGTTTGCGGGGAGCAGCCAGTGTGCAGCCGCCCGTCACCACATGGCATGTTGTTGGCGCATGTTGTTCGAGGCTTCAATAAACATACTGTGCTCCCCGGGCAGCTCTGCTCCGCATACCGCTCCGAAAACACCGGATCGGTGCACAAAGACCCTGTTATGTGTGTTTTTAACAGTGTTACAGCATATGCTAAGAGCCTTTCACAGTCTGTATTACATACATACAGAACAGAGGCAGAACACCCAGGTGGTCATGGGCAGCATTTGGAGAAAGGAAAAATAATCCTGCATTACCAGGGTTGTTACAATCCCTGTCGCATGTAGGGCAGATGATGTTCAGCAGAACTTGAAGGCCATCTACTGGCCAAGCCCCGGTCTTCCTTTTACTTTGCAAACTTGCATCAGAGACAAGCATTTGGCCCTGTGTGAGTTGCAAAGATGCATGTTTTCACTTTTAGCTGGAAATAACAGAGCTGAAGTTTTGTAAATCATCCTGAATGCTCACATTGGTTTCATTCATTTCCCCCTATGAGTGGTACTGACTACAGGTGCTGCAGCTGCTTATGGAGGCAACCAGCAGTCTCCCAGGATTTCTGTGAGTTTAATAGTTTTGCGCTACTAGAGAAATTGCACTGGAAATAAAACTGCAAATAAATAAAAGGCAAGCTGACAGGTCAGAAACCAGTTTTCTTGTTTGTTAATTTATCTTTTGGACTTGATGCATCAGCAGTAATTTGATACATCCTACAGTTTGCCCGGGATGTTATGTATGGTGTCAGTCCGATTGCTAAACCCCACCTTGAGCCTTAAAGGCTGCCTGAGGTCTTGGCCATCAACAGTAGAACTGGCAGCTCTTCCTCTGGGTACCCTGGCAGCTCTCAGCTGCTGACATGTTTCCAGGTCTCCACTCTGCGCTGTCTGTGAGGGACTCTCACAGTCAAGAGAGGCTGCTAAGATATGGTGGGGTTTCTTAATTTATTTGACATGATTTTAAAACACATTGTAACCAAAACAAAGAAAAACTTAGTAAAAAAATAAATACCTGTGAGTTCCCTGTCATGTCCCTGCTCAAATTCTTTGTCCACTGTGGTGCATCAAACATTAGTTTCCGGAGCCCTGTGCTGACCCGAGCCAGCCAGCAGAACCCTCATGGCCTTTAAAATGCACAAAACATGGTTTTGAGGACTTTTTTTCTGTCTTTCTGTGTGATCTGTGAGGGCATTTTGTAAAAATTGCTTGAGAAGGAGGAGGGTGTCCCTTTACTGCTGCATGGCCAAGGGAAAAAACATCAGCAGCTCAACTGGCATTTACTATGAGAGGGACTAACCTCAGGAAGCCCAAAAAAGCACCTTGTGCTTTTTTTAGGGCTTCGTGTGGTATCTCCGTTTAAAAAAATCACACAGCTTTTGTAAGGCTAAGCCAAGGCTGGTGGTATCAGGTAGGATCTGGCTCCTTTTCCAACAGTGAGCATGTCTGCACTGTGGCGTCCTCCTGCACCACAGGGGTTAGAGCAGCACAGGAAGATCTCCTTGGAGGTGTGCTCTCACTTGCCACGTGAGTCCCTTCTGCTGGCTAGTTGGTCATTTAGCCTGCACTGCTGCAAAGGGAAGGCATGAGGTTACGTTTGCTGGTTCCAGCTGACAGTAACCTTTCTCCTCGGCGTGCTGAGCAAGCGATGGCTGCAAAGCTCACAGGGGACAGTGGCAGTACCCGGCACCTTCGGTGGTTTATTCAGCTATTTTCCCTGGCATGGAATAGAATCATAGAATTATAGAATCATAGAATGGTTAGGGTTGGAAGGAACCTCGAAGATGATCTAGTTCCAACCCCCCTGCCATGGGCAGGGAAATCCTCCACTACACCAGGTTGCCCAAAGCCTCATCCAACCTGGCCTTGAACACTTCCAGGGATGGGGCATCCACAACTTCTCTGGGCAAGAGAATAGGTAGGATGCTTTGCCTTTTAGAAGGAAGGAGCAATCCAGTGAAGAAGCAGCAGCATTGATCGTGTGCCACCTTTGCAGCACCGCTTTATGCCACCATCTCCTGTACAAATGCCCAGGAAAGCACAGAGCAGTTCCCTGCAGTGAGGTCACTTTCTTGTACGTGACAAAGAGCTTTTTACAAGGTGCTGACTCTGCTCAAGGTTCATTTTGTCTTGGGGCTGGAAATTGCAGCAGCTTTATAAGCTTGATCCTCCTCCCATTTAAATGAGCTGTACTATCCAGGATCTGAACACTCTGTTACAAAATAGGCTTTTAAAACGGCTTATAAATCACATGCAGTAAAAATGATGCACAAATATTTGTTTTTCAAGATAAAGATTTTCTGGTCTTGAACACTGGATTTTGTACCTTCGGTATTGAGCTTTAAGATTTGATTTACATGTTTGCTTTTTATTTTAGCTGGTGGGATGTTTAAAAAAAAGCTGGAGTAGCGAGACCATTCTCAGTGAATCATCTAACCCAGGACTTTTATTTGCTCTGAGATGCAGATGCTTAAATGCAATTTCTATGCCATTTCTGTGACAGCTAAACATATCTGTATTCCTGTCACATGCTTAAAGTGCCGATGTGTCTTCTTACTCTCTTGGGAGCTACTTTTTCCTAGTTAATGTTGATATTACGCCCCTCTGTCCATTTCTTTCTCCATTTCAGAAATTCCTTGCATTATTATAGACAAAAATAATTAATCTGGAAAATCTCTTTGCCTGAAGGTGAAATATGAATATATATCAAGTGTTAGGAGAAAAAGGGGAGTGTCAGAAAGAGCATGCAGCATTTTTTTTAAATAGTGCTTTAAATAAGGCTTGTGCTGTAAAAATATTTAAACAAAAAGAAAAATGCGTAATCTGAACTACCACGAATTCAAGGCGGAAAGATTTGTAATGCAGCGAATTGGAACATCAGTGAAATCGCATGCTAACGATCTGAGATGTTTTATGCAAAGTTTTAACCCAATATAAATAGCCCTTAGCAAATTCTGGAAATCCCTAAAAGTGCAGTTTAAGGCAGAGCAGCTATAGGTGTAACAGCACTGGCTGTTGTAACAGGAGGTTGAAGATTGGTGTTGGCAAAGGAGCTTCTCAGCAGATGCATCACCATCAGTGCTTCTTTCAAATGCCTTTCTTAGTATCTTACTTAAGATCATGCTTACTTCTTTTTGTGATCAGATTCAGTTTCTTTTCCTCCTTTAATTTTCATTTGACAGTCACAAATTCAAGACAACTAGGAACTTGGCTCTTAAGAGTTTGAAAGAGCTGACTGACGAATCTCTAGATCATTTACTTTCAATGTCAATAAACCCAGGAATGTAGGGGAAGCCCCAGAAACTTAGTGAAGGCCAATGTTGTTCCAGTGCTTAAAGCAGTTGAACAGGCTAGTGTAGCTGTAGGTGAACGTGACTGCTGTGCGGTATAACCATAATGGGGTTGATAAGGAGATCAATTAATAATGATTTACAGCTGGATAATAAAATTAATGGAAGTCTATGAGGATTTGTATCGTGGCATACCAGCTTGATAATAGTTTATGACACAAGTTTATCTAACCGAGGCAAGTTACATTGTTGTAGCAGGCTGTCTTCAATATTAGACTTGGTAGGCAATGTATTTAGAAACTCAAGCAACAGGACTTGAACATTATATTTTTAATTGTTTAAAATTGGCATAACTGATAGGCCTTAGGACATTGCTGTAAGTGGAGTATCTTCAAAATCATTTGCATTTCTGTGGGGATTGTTCGCTGATCCTGTACTAATAAATTTTTTTTATTTATCAGTGGTCTGAAAGGAAATAAAATTCATTGACTTGCAGGTGATAGATGGAGAATTGTTAAATAAGTAAATGCAAAAATCACTGCTGCAGGGTGATACGGATCTCTTAGCAGTCTGTATGCAAGCAAACAACAGGTGTTTGGCCAAATGGAAGGATCCATAGTCCAGATCTGGGTACTGGAAAAACTTTTTCATAAAAGGTTTCAGGATTTTAATCTATTTAAACTTGTCAAAGAGAAATTATGGAGGCTATATATAAAGTTGTTTAGAAAGCAAGGTTCAGTGAGCTTGGATCCGGACACATGTAAAATAGAAACAAGGCTCAGATAAAGTCAGGCTACTTCATTATTGGAGCAGTATTTCAGGGATCGTGGTGTTTTCTCTGGCAATAAGCACTTCTAAATCAAGACTTGAATTATTTCATGTTGCAAAATATGCTCTAGTTCAAGCACAAATTGTTTCAAATACGTGCTCTGGACTACACTGTAGAAAAGGAAATATTTAATTAGTTGTGAAGGTCACTTCTGGCACTGTGATATATTATAGCTGATCTTTTGGGGCCTAGGATATACACCATGCTCTTGCTTCATTTTTTGCTTCTGTTCTGTTTTCTAGTTCAATTTCACCGTTCAGTATTGAAAGCACAAGGCGTCAGAGAAGGTCCGAATCTCCAGACTCCAGGAAGCGGCGCATCCATCGGTGTGACTTTGAGGGATGCAACAAAGTATACACGAAAAGTTCCCACCTGAAGGCTCACCGGAGGACGCACACAGGTAAGTCTTTTCTGGCACTATGTACCACAGTTAAGCAGTTTCCTTTCTGCCTAATTTAGGAAGTATTGAACTCATCATCCTACACTAAGAGCCAAAGGCCTGTAACTAAATAACAGAGACGTCTGTGAGTGCATCAGCATTGGCGTTCTGGTGCAGATCAAGAGCGTGCTTTTGAATTGA